TTATTTATTTATTTTTTTATTTATTTATTATGTATGTTGGGTTTTTGCCTGCATGTATGTCTGTGTGAGGGTACCAAATCACCTGGAATTGGAGTTACAGACAGTTATGAGCTGCCATGTACATGCTGGGAATTGAACCTGAGTCGTTTGGAAGAGCAGCCAGTGCTCTTAACCTTTGAGCCATCTCTCCAGCCCAAACCATATATTTTTAAACAGCTGAAAGAGGGCAGACAAGATGGTTCAGTGGGTAGAAACACTCAAAGTGCAAGCGTGAGAGCCCATCTCCGATCTCTAAAGCCCATGGTGCAGGCAGAGAACCTATTTCTGAAAGTTATCTTCCAGCTGCAGCTGCGTGCAGTGGCACATGGATGCCTGCACACACACACACACACACACACACACACACACACACACACACACACACCACACACACACACACCACACACACACACACACACACACACCACACACACACACACACACACACACACACACACCACACACACACAGACCATAATAATAAATAGAAAAAATTTAAAGTTAGAGAATAAAATAGCTAAAAGAGATGATTTGAAACGTTCTCATCACAAAGAAACTAGCCATTTAATGTGAGGGACATGCTAATGACTCCAAGTTTATTATTCTGTGAAATTTACATGAATAAAAATGACACTGTATTCCATAGTAATTGTTTATGTGTCAATCAAAAATCAAATGAAGTTTGGGGCTGGAAATGTAGCTCAATGGTAAGGAATTTGCCTATCCATCGGCATCGTTGTCCTGGTTATTAGTTAGAACCAGGTACTTAGCTCCTCACAGGTGAGAGCTTCTGTCACCTGTCACATCTTGTCACCTCATGTCATTCCATGTCACCCCGTCCCATCCCATCTGCTGTAGCTAACTTTCTCATTGCTATGACAAACCCCCGATGGAGACAATGTAAGGAAAGGAGGTCCCCTTTGGTTCACAGTTTGGGGTACAGTCCATCGTGGCTGCAGGAGTGTGAGGTAGGGGGTCACATCGCACCCACAGTCAGGAATGGTGCTCAGCTCACTTTCTTCTTTTCATTCAGTCCAGGATCCCAGCCCATGGGCTGGTGCTGCCCACATTCAGGTGGGATCTACGCACCTCAATTAACCTAATTTAGAAAATCACACTCGGATATGCCCCATGGCTTCTCTCTTCAGTGATTCTAGACCCTATCGAGTTGAAAATTAATATTAGCCATCACCCCATCCCATCCCACTCCATCCCATCGCACCCCACCCCATCCTCTTCCCTCTCCTCTCCTTCCCTCTCATTTCATGTCATCCCAACCCATCTTATCCCCTCCCTTCCCCTCCCATCTTATCTTACATCATCCTACCCCATCCCATCGCACCCCACCCCATCCTCTTCCCTCTCCTCTCCTTCCCTCCCATCTCATGTCATCCTAACCCATTTTATCCCCTCCCTTCCCCTCCCATCTTATCTTACATCATCCCACCCCATCCCATCCCATCCCACCCCATCCCCTCCCACCCCATCCTCAGGACCTTCCTGTGATGTAGAGGATGAAACTGAGGCTTTGGGGGCAAAAGCACCTCCCAGAGTCTAGCAGGGGAGATGCAGAGCTAGAGAAAGACTTTTCCAGAGTCATCTGGTAGGAGATGATGGTATCTCCATGGAAACAAGCACTTTTCCACCTTCTTGTTTGGAACCAACCCCTCCATGGTTTGACAGTGAATTCAGGAGGCCCTGGTGGCTCAGGGATCTTCTCTCCATCCACTGAACATACTCCTTCGACTCCAGGCTCCTCCTGCTGGTCCTGCTTTGACTTCTGAGTCCTTGGGAGCCTGGGAGCTTTGAACCCTGATGGGAGAGGAAGGGGACGGAGGCTCTCAACTGGAGGATCTCCTCAGCCCGTGGGAACACCCAGACCCTGTCTAGTGGCCAAGGGAACCTGCTAGTCTGCTGCTACTAGGCACCTGTCCCCATCCAATCTTGGCTTCTTGGAATCTAAGATTCAATAATAGGGGTAGAAAGATGGGTCAGAAGCTGAGCATTTGCTCTGCAATCATGAGGACTGGACTTCAGATCCGAGCCAAATGCCTGCAACCCCAGCTCCAAAGGATCCAACATCATCTGACTTCTTCACCTGCACAGAACCTCAAGCCTGCACAGGCATGTGCACCCAAGCGCACACACACACACACACACACACACACACACACACACACACACACGTGCATATACTAACACAGACACATACATACATTTAAATAGATAAAACACATCTTCTACAGAAAGATTCAATACTACACTTACTCTCAACCCAAAAGCCAAGAAGCCATGGGACCTGAGATTTGAGATATCAAAATAATACAGCTCTAAATCAAAAGCACGCCAACTTAATTCATACCACCATCAAGTCAAAGCTTGACAAGAACCAACTCCCACATCTGGAGATGTCAAGAAGCATTGGGCTCTATGATGGTGAATTTGTGCTATTCATAAATTGATATAATCAGTCCTTCACAGTGTCCTCTATTTGGTCGTATGTGAGCTTAAAAGGTAATCCCCTATAGGAATATTATTTCTTTCTGCTTTCTTAAGTATGCTTTATGGCTTGTTTAAAAACACATATTTAGAGATTAGAGAGATGACTCAGTGGTTAAGAGCACTGACTGATCATTCAGAGGACTTAGGTTCGATTCTCACTATCTACATGGTGGCTCACAAACATCTTTAATTCTGGTTCCAGGGGATCCTCTTCTGACCTCTGTGGGCACCAAGCATGCACATGTTGCATAGACATACACAGAGGCAAAACATCAAACACATAAAAAAATCCACATATTTAGCTTTCTGAACAATTTCACATTCATTTTATTGGCACAAGCTGTTCTCTGTGCCGCCCACAGTTTGTTCTGTGAGCCTGTCCTTGCTGGCCAGTGGCTGAAGCCTCCTGCTCAGAGTCCGTCTTCGGCCCATCCATTCTTTCTCGTGATCCTGACAGCATGCTAGGTCCCGTGGGTTGTGAGAAGAACCGTTTTTACTGGGCTATCGTTTTAATCAACACAGGAGACTCTATGACCTCAAAAGACAAGTGTGTGCATGTGTGTCTGTCAGTGTGTGTGTGTGTGTGTGTGTATGTGTGTGTGTATGTGTGTGTGTATGTGTGTGTGCATGTGTGTGTCTGTCAGTGTGTGTGTGTGTATGTGTGTGTGCATGTGTGTGTCTGTCAGTGTGTGTGTGTATGTGTGTGTGCATGTGTGTGTCTGTCAGTGTGTGTGTGTGTGTGTGTGTGTGTGTATGTGTATGTGTGTGTATGTGTATGTGTGTGTATGTGTGTGTCTGTCAGTGTGTGTGCGTGCATATGTGTGTGTGTATGTGTATGTGTGTGTGTGTGTGTGTATGTGTGTGTATGTGTGTGTATGTGTGTGTCTGTCAGTGTGTGTGTATGTGTGTGTGTATGTGTGTATGTGTGTGTGTGTGTGTGTGTGTGTGTGTGTGTGTGTGTGTTCCTCTCAAGCCAGGCATTCTGCAGCGATGGGCATCCAGATAGTAGCAGTGGCAGCAAGGCCTTGTATGCTTCTTATTTCACAGATTCCCCCTCTTGTTCCCTGAGATCCCATTTTCCAGATGAAGAAACTGAAGCTCATAACAGTCAGCTGATGCACCCATGGACACATTTTTAGAGTGGGAAGGCGGCTTTGCCATCTGCTGTCCCTCGGAGGGAGGACCACAGAGAGGCTGCAGGCCAGAGGTGGGCTATAGGAAGCGACTAATGTGTGGGTTTGATTTCTGGGTTAAGACAGACCATGTCTCTAGCTCTCCTGCCACAGGAAGACCTGGCCCCTTGTGTAGCTAGCGCCCGGTGTACCCATTCTGCCCAGGAAGGAGGGGTCGAATGAATAGGAGCCTAGTCATTATGTGCTGGAATAATATTGGACCTGCTTGGATTGTAGCTTGCAGGTGGGGGTGTAAGCCTTCAAAAAGTGACAGCTGACATCCCAGAGTTGGCCCTGACTCAAGGTGGTGGTTCTGTCCTGGGAGGGTCATCAGGTCACAGGGAAGCCTTACAGGCTCTCCCAGAAAGGGAGGGTAAGGAGAGGTAGGGTGGAGCAAGATGGAGCGACAGACAGGCTCGCCATCCCAGTTAAATTGGCAGCAGAAAGCAGGAGATGCCCTGAGAGCCCAGCACCTGCTCCAGCCTCCAGGGCCACCTGACTAGTGTTGGAGACAAGATTCTACTCAGACCCATCCCCTGTATGGAGTGATCTGGACACCTCTTGGGAAGAGGGGGAGTGAAAGGCTTTCCAGGCTCTCCCGCTTCTAAAGGTGGCCAGTGCTTGCTTTCCACAGGTGTCCCCAACCCTGAACATCTGTCAGTAGGTGTTCCTTGGAAGGTCTCTCCCGGAGGTTTGGGCTGAAGGTAGGCTTCCTGCACCCTGAGATCTTGTTGGGACCAGATTTCCCCATAGATATTTTCTCATCACCTCAGCTCTCCTGCGCTGTACTTGAGGAAGCAGGTCATAATGGCCACAAGGTGAGTCATGTGTGGAAGGGTCATAGACACAGTCCCACCCAATCTGAGACAAGTCCCCTTCTTTCTTCTTGGGAGTGGTCACAGGTCTCACTTCTAATGTCCTATGATATACAGTTGGACTCTACTGCTCTACTGAGTCTCAGGTTCTCATCTTGAGTGGCAAGCGTGTGGGAAGGAGCCTGGAGGAGAGTCATATGCTTCTGTTCTGAGGGAATGGCTGATGTGTCTTGCTTGTCACTGGCATCCATGACTCAGGCCACGGGCCATCAGTAGCCTGCTGTAAAGGTTGAAAGTATCACAGAGCTTGGTGAAGTTCTTGGGGCTGAATGGGGCCCAGGCGTCAATGACTTGGCCGTTCTGGCTGTGGGAGGGACAGCAGGGGCTGAGGAAGGAAGACTGGGTCCACAGAGCTGTCTTTTCTAGGATGTCAGAACTGTGCCCAGAGAACACCTCAGCTGGAGTCTCAGGGATGAGCACCCACCCTGGAGACCCGAGGGAGCAGCTAGGAGCCTCAGGAAGCCTGTGGCCATCAGAGCCCATCATCCTGGGGCCAGAGGGATCTGCCCGGCAGTTGGTCCTGAGGAAGATCCAGGAGCTCTCCATCGAGGTAAGGAGAGAGGGTGAGTCCAACCTCCTCCATTGCTGGTACCCAAGAAGGCTTCTGGTTTACAGCTTGGAGGCCATCAGACCAGGCTTTCCCAGGGCCTGCCCTGGGGTCCTGAGTGAGCTCTGCTGTTCTTTCCATTCCCTTCCCTGACACTCGGGGTTTACCCTCAACCAAGCCATTGTCTGGGGCTGACCATCTGTCTCCAGCTTTGGTCTATAGATAGCTGCCTCCCTGCACCTCTGTTTTAAGTGACTAAAAAGACCAGAGTTCAAATCCTTTCTTTGCCCGACGTGGTGGTGTATGCCTTTAATCCCAGTAGTCAGGAGGCAGAGGCAGGCAGGTGTCTATAAGTTCAAGGCCATCCTGGTCTACACAGCAAGTTCCAGGACAGTTAGTGCTATATAGAGAGATCCTGTCTCAAAAGAATTTTTTTTGTTGTTAAAAAAAATCAATCCTCTCTTTGTCATATTCTTGCTGTGTGACTTCAAGTCACTGATTTTCCAACCAAACCTTTGTTTTCCCTGGCCCTTAAAAAGGGAGAAACAGCACCGGGCGGTGGTGGCGCACGCCTTTATTCCCAGCACTCGGGAAGCACAGGCAGGCAGATCTCTGAGTTCAAGGCTAGCCTGGTCTACAGAGTGAGTTCCAGGACAACCAGGGCTACATAGAGAAACCCTATCTCGAAACAAACAAACAAACAAAAAATCCACAAAGTGAAATGGAAGAAGAGGAAGAGAAAACGAGAGGAACAGTAATGCTTTTGTCATAGAGTGGAGAGGACTCCGGGACCTGACCCACTCCTCACCTCCCTCCTTGTTCTTGCTCTAACAGGGCCGCCAGGACCCCTTCATGGTGGCTGACTTGGATGTGCTGGCCAGCCGCCATCAGACCTTCCTCCAGGCCCTGCCCCAAGTCCAGCCCTTCTATGCAGTGAAGTGTAATAACAGACCTGGGGTGCTGCTTGTCTTGGCTGCCTTGGGCACTGGCTTTGACTGTGCCAGTCAGGTGAGCCTGTGCCAGCTTGCCAACCACCTCCCTATGGGCCTGTCACTTTCTAGAGAAATATTGCCCAATGTTCAGGAGATCAGGAATGGGGACTCTGGCCTCCACGATGGTGGCTGCCATGTTGAGGGCTCAAGGCTTTTTGTTGTTATTGCGCTAGTGGCTTTTATTTGTTCTGAATCCAATGTAGTCCAGGCTAGCTTAGAATTCACTACATAGTCGAGGATGACCTTGAACGTCCGGTCCTCCCACCTCCACTTCCCAGTGCTGAGATTACAGGCACAGGCCACCCAGTTTACTGGGTGCTGGTTGGACCCAGGGCTTTGTGCACACTACGCATCACTCCACCAGCTGAGCTGTAGCCCCGGTCCCTCGGATGCTTTAAAATGAATAAAAGAGCAAATTGCAGTGGTCAGCCTTGCACGTGACTATGTGACAAGACCAGGTAATCCCAACTAGGGAAACGGATCCCTTCCTGGCATAGCCAGTCACCTGTCTGAGCCTCAGTTTCTCCCTCTTTAAAATGGGAGCAATACCGGATGAAAACAAGGATATGATGGCTCCTAGGTATGATTGAGGAGAAGGTTTTATTGTAGACATGAGGGAGAGAACAGTCAGAGGCATCTGGAAAAGTCCAGACAGAACATGGCCAGCAGAAAAGACTAGGCCATGAGAGGAGGGGAGAGGGTAGTGTGAGAGGAAGAGAAGAGAGAGAGAGAAGAGAAGGTCAAGAGGGCCAAGAGGGCAGATGGAACCAAGAGAGCGAATACACAAAATGCCCGAGTCATACAGGAACAGAAGTTGGGCGAAGGGAAGCAAATCCCGGCTCTGGGTGGGAGCGGTTCAGGGTAGGGGGCAGGGTGAGAGGTGCTGGGAGGGGGCCACAGGTATTAAGTGAGGTTTCTTTGGGACCTGACTCTCCCAGTGAAGGACCTGGTCCCAGAAGGAGGTTCATTGGAAGGTATCCCCACTAGTTCAAGCTAAGGTCCTGTCCCCAAAGAGTCAGGGAAGGCAGGAACAGCAGGGCAGCCCCGACTCTGGCCTTCACTCATGCCAGGGGGAGCTGGAGCAGGTGCTGGGCTTGGGCGTGGCCCCCTCACGGATCATCTTCGCCAACCCCTGCAAAGCCGTCTCCCACATCCAGTACGCAGCCCGCTGTGGGGTGCAGCTTCTGACCTTCGACAGTGAGGAGGAACTAACTAAGTTGGCCCAGCACCACCCTGGAGCTAGGTGAGGTGGCAGAGGTACAACGGGAAACAGCGTACAAGGGACTCCGACAGATGGATCTGGGCCTCAGCAACCAGGTAGAAGGTGGCTCCAGGAAAACCTCTGGGCAACAAGATGGCCAGACTGCAGACACAAGGGTTCAGTCGGGAGGCCCAGTACTTTGTCAGGAGCACCAAATAATAGAGCACTATTAGTACCAAATAGACCTTGTCTCTGCAATGGCACTGGACAGAGCTTGGCACGAGAAGGTCTGGCATCCATGACATCATAGGAAAAGTCCTCGTACTAGAGTCAGACCAAGGCTCACATTTCAGACTCACATTAGCCATATGCTGTGTGATCTTAGGAAAGGTGTGAAACATCTCTGGTTTTTCAAGACAGGGTTTCTCTGCATAGTCCTGGCTGTCTTGGAACTCACTCTGTAGAACAGGCGGGCCTCGAACTCAAACATCTGCCTGCCTCTACTTCTCAAGAGCTGGGATTAAAGTTGTGTGCCACCACCACCACCCACATATACCTCGGACTCTTTAGAAAGTTTAACTGTGAGATTCTATCTCACTTGTTCTTGCCTGACAAAATTCAGTAAATAACATGTTTCACTCCTTGGTCTCCGTGCTGGGTAGTTGGGAGCAACTAGGCAGGGATGGGTGGGAAGGTTGGAGGGCCTCGGGGTTCTGTACACCCATGCCACCCCCCCTCCTTCCCCCTCCAGGTTGGTCCTTCGAATCCAGACCCAGGACAGTGGAAGCACCTTCCCGCTGAATGCCAAGTTTGGAGCTCAGTTGGAGGCATGCGGACGCTTGCTCCAGGCTGCCAGAGAGCTGGGGCTGGCCGTGGTGGGGGCCTCGTAAGTGAGCACTGGCCTTTTCCGTCTTGATTTCTATTGCTGTCCCTAGACAGCCAAGGACTCTCAGGGACACCTCTGCTTTGTGCGTTTTCTAGGCCTAGAGGACGTGAGGCACTAATAGCCTAGGGGACAAATTGAAGTAAACATCAAAAACTTAACGCTCCAGACATATAACATTTTCAAACAGTATTTTAAAAAAATCAAAACAAATGCAAAAATCTCCATGATGAGAAAAATTGGAATTTTAAATGAAGACAGGATGGATGTTGCTGATTTTCTTTCTTCCCTTGGGGTCTAATCACTTTACAGATCGAGTCTCGGTTTGAAATTTTTTACATTTCATTCCTCCGGGATCCGTGCATTCATTTTACTCTTTAAGGGATTCTGAGCCCTGGTTTTGTGGACACACAGCCCTAATCCCAGCACTCCAGGAAGCAGAGGCAGGAGAGTGACAAGGTCAAGGGCAGGCTGGACAACAGGAAACCGGGTCTCAAAAAAAGGGGGGGGGGGCGGGCAGGGCTAGGGACACAGCTCAGATGGTAGTGTTCTGGCCTGGTATGCACCAAATAAAACCAGGGTGGTATGCACCCCGTAATCCCAGCACTCCAGAGATGGAGGCTGGAGGGTCAGAAGTTCAAGGTCATCTTTGGCTATATAGCAAGTTGGAGGCTAGCTTTTGCTATATGAGATACTATTTTAAAAAAGAGAGCCTGATGTCATTTGTTATGTTTTCATGGCCCCTTACAAGGTTTTTTAAGTAAAAAATTTTAAAAATTTTTTTACATTTATTTACTTTGTGTGTGTGTGTGCTCACACATGCCACAGTGCACACGTGGAGGTCAGAGGACAATTTTTAAGAGTCAGTTTTCTCTCGTCGAGTGGGTTTCAGGAATTGAACTCAGGAGGGTTTGGCAGCGAGTGCCTTTACTCTCTGGGCCATCTGGCCAGCCAAGCTTTGCATCTGATGAGAAATATTCACTCACTTCATCCCCTCTAACCAGAATTGGTTTCTCAGTTTACCTTCGGGGGGCACTGGGTTGTGGGGCTCTAGGTAAGAGAAGGGGAGCCACTTCAACAAAGGCGTTGGGAGTGGGCAGCTGGGGAAAAACGTCACTTTGTCGTTAGCCCTGATTGGATGACTATGGGATGTGTGTCTCCACGAGGACGCCTGGTGTGACCAAGGCCACAAACATCTATGGGTGCCAAGTGGGCCAGTATCATCTTGGCGCTGGCTGGCACTGGTCTCGAAGCCCCTGGGTGGGTGTTCCTCAGTGCCTCTGTCCTCACACTGACTTGAATCTCCCCCTGTGTGTCTTCCACACCAATGGCCATGCTCAGCTTCCACGTGGGTTCTGACTGCCAGACACCCCAGAGCTACAGGCAGGCCATCGCGGACTGCCGTCGTGTGTTTGAGATGGGCAGCCGGGCCGGCCACCACATGAGTCTGCTGGATCTTGGTGGAGGCTTCCCTGGAGCTGAGGGCTCTGAAGCTAAATTTGAGGAGGTAAGATGGGTGGCCCCAGGGCATGAGTGGCCATCTGGGTACAGCAGCTTGGGGTGGGGGGGAGAAGTGGGTGCGCACGCCTGTGTGGTTTGTACACAGAACCCTGCATAACTGGGAGTCTGTTTGCGGGCCCCGTGGTTTGATTCGGACAGACGTCTTCACCGGACTGCATGTGCGACTGTGAGTGCGTCTGAGTGTGTGCACCTGCTTGCTGTACTTCTTTTTGTTGCCTCACAGCTCTGGTCCAAGGTCAGGAGCTCCATCGAACAATGGTCTCCTCCTCTTCCTCCTTCTCCTCTTCCTCCCCTCCCTCTTCCTTCTCTTCCTCCTCCTCCCCTCCTGTCTCCCTCTCATCCCTACCCCTTTTCTTCCTGCTCCTTCTCCTCCCTCCTCCTGTCCTCTTATTTTTCGTCTCCAGCCTCTCATGAGGCAGGTGTTATACCCCCGAATTACCCCTACAGCCCCCCTGCGTTCTTCTTTAGACATAGCCGCTGGCCCTGGCTAGGCCTGGTGGACAGACACTCATGGTCCCTTAGCTTCAGGGGACCACGGAGACATTCTGTCTCTGCTGACCATGCATCAATTATTTGCAATGTCACATTCCTCAGGGTGCCAGGGACCACACGCAGGCTATGTATGCACTTTGGCCTCTCCTAGCTTTGTTTCTACCCATTTCTTCTTGAATAAGAGGAGGTGAGCTTGCTGTCTGAATGGCTATTGTGGGGACAAAGGAGAGGGGTGGCTGGTCATGACAGTTGCAGAGACTCAGGATTCAGCAGAGGCTGGGTCTGTCTCCACAGATGGCTAGAGTGATCAATGCTGCCCGGGCCCAGTACTTCCCGGAGGGGACTGGTGTCGAGGTCATTGCGGAGCCCGGCCGCTTCTATGCAGAGTCTGTGTGCACAGCTGTTGTGAACATCATAGCCAAGAAGGCCTCGCTGGAGCCAGGTGGGTGACGGGTGTGGTCACTGTCCAGGTGTCCCCGGGACTCAGGGAGAGGCTGAACCGTGGGTCGGGGTATAGGAAGTAAGATCAGAGCTGGACACTGGACCGGCCCTGTCTGTGCACTGTTTACTGTTCCCCAGAAGGGGGAAGGTGAAGGTGAAGCACAGAGCCAAGATGCTCTTCTAGGTAGTGGGTAAGTCTACCCGTCACTGAGGGAACAATGGCAAGGTTCAGCCTCCAAGGCCCTAGACACCCATTATTAAACCTAGTCCACCATGAACAGAACCTGGGGTGCAGGAGGTGACGGTTTCTATCACTAACAGAGTACTCGAGTACAAACTCCCACAACAGATAAAGCAGGGCTGACTGCTGTAATCGGACTCATCCCTAAGGCTGACATCCTCTGGTGACAGGAACTTTTGACCCTCATCATGGTGTGTCTCCCAGGAGAGCTCTTCAGCTATTTTGCCTCTGAGTGTGAGAGGGAGATGGGGTTGCCATGTTCCCAGAGAATGAACCAGAAATGTTTTTTATGGCAAGATTGAGAATATTCCCAGGTCTGCAGCCACTGGGTTAGCACTCTTTGATCTTGGGAACTGAGTGACACCGGCATGTAAATATTTACCGGTCACTCTGGTCCCTTCCCCTGTTCCTTTGACAAAGTGTCTCATTGGAGGATGCTGGGGTGTAGCCCACCTGTCTTCTGTCACTGTACCACAGCCAATCACAAGGATTTGGGGGTCGTTATTCATCACATCAACAGAAGCAAAAGCTGCCAATCTGCAGAAGTCAATGACAGCCGAAATACATATTTTACCTCATGTCTGCTCACCAATCTCGTGAGACAGCTTTGAGTCACCCCCAATGAACATGTAGACCTGAAGACTCAGAGAGGGCCAGCGACTTGTCCAAGGCAGCAAAGCTAGTCAGAAGAGCAGCCAGCCCATGTCTTCCTGACTCCAGGGCTGGTGCCCTTCATCCCTAGCATCACGATGAACTCAATCCAGAACTGATCTGGGTACCACTGGAATTGGGGTTAAGGAGATAGGGAGGAGAAAGTACCAAAACCGGAGGTGAGAAAATCTGTGCTCAGAGTCAGCATCCAAATGGCCGCCGATTGCCCGGATGTGAAGAGTCTGACTGGAGTCCTGGATGCAGGCTCAGAAGCAGTGTTGTGAAGACAGACTAAGATGGCTGAGAAGAACAGGCTTGGCATACCATGGTGTCTGGGATCCGGGAGTCATAGAACAAGAGTGTGAGGGAGCTAGGGGGAAAGCGGCCACATGCTTGTTTGAGTAATGTCAATAGAGGCTGAGTGTTCTGAGGGAGGGAGCCATCTGCAGCCCTTGGTGCTGTCAGAGTTGGGCACTGTTTTATAGCACACCCAGGATTTGTCCTAAGGATTTGTTCTAATTAGCTATGGCAAAGCATGCTTACATGGAGACAGCTGTCTCCGAGCAATTTTTACACAGTTTCCCAGAGACAGGAGTCCCCGCATGAATTATCCACACAGAGTGGATCGGGCGAGAAAGGAGAGTAAGCTGGCATCTTCGCTGTGATGCTTGTTTGTGAATATAGGGTCTTGTGTAGCCTAGGCTGACCTGGAACTTGTGGCAACTCTCCTGCCCCAGCTTCCTGAGTGCTGGGATTACAGACGTGAGACACTCCACTCCACTTCCATTATGATTTATGAGGGAGGGAATGATGAAGTTGGGCATCCAAGACAGGCTTTGTTCTGGCTGGTTCTGGTGATTTCAGCCGGCTCCAGAGTGTAAGGCTGGCTCTGGTCTCTCATCCCAGGGTGACAACCCCCAGGAGAAAGTGGCTGGAATAGGGACAGCTCACGAAATGAATCAGCAGGGCAGAGAGGGGGTCAGCAGTTTAGAGCACTTGCCACTACCACAGAGGACAATTCTCAGTGCCCATATGGTGGCTCACAACCGTCTGTAACGTCAGTTCTAACGCCCTCTTCTGGCCTCCATGGGTACTTCATGACTGTGGTGTTCAGACACACATGCAGGCAAAATATTCATACACGTGAAATAAATACATCTTTAAAACTTTCTAAAAAGGAAGCTGCTGGCTGCTTGGGCGCTGGACTGGTGGTTGTACACGGAGGGAGGCCATTTGTGGGAACAATTACTGCCTCTAGGAATTAGTTATCCAGAGAAGGTCAGACTCCTGTGTCTGCAGAGGCCAGATGTCAGAGTATCAAGAACAGCAAAGACTAGGTATCCTGGTACCCACCTGCGATGCCAAGATGAGGAGGCAGTTCGTGAGTTCAAGACAAGCCTATACTACACAGGCCAGTGTGGGCTATGGGAGTTTATCTCAAACAACAAACACAAACCTAAGATAAAGCAGGGTGTGGTGACATATGCCTGCAACCCCAGCACTCGGGAGGCTGAGGCAAAAAGTCACAGCTTCAATGCCATATTGAAAGAAGGTAGGAAACACAGTTAACAAGGGATTCCTTAAAGAAAGGAAATGTATGCACTGGCATGTCCTGAGTGAAACATCAAATAAAAGCCGCTGCTCCTGTGCTGCCTCACACAGCAGGTGCTTGGGGACCTAGTCCAAGCACTCGAACCTGCGTCTGGGGATAATCCTAGTGCATTGCCTCCTCCTGTGGACTTCTGGCAAGACTCAGTTTCTCCAACTGTGTGCAGGGGTCATGGTACCCAATAAGTGTAGGCAAGAGGATTCATATACTCCTCACATGAGTACACGTGGAGCTTAAAACAGATCGTCCCAACCAGTTACTGCTGTTCAGTGTTCCTGTGGGGGGTGGGGTGGAGGGCAGTGGGGCCCAGCGCCATGCATCTAGCCATGACAGGAGGGGCCTGGGGAAGACCCTTAGGACAAAGCAGGAGTTCTGCCTCACTGGGCAGCAGGCCTCTCCCAAGGGAGTTGGGACTCATTAGGGAGACCTAGCCAAGCACACTTCATCCTGTTCACTCCCTGTTCCCAGGAGGCCATAGGAAGCTGGCATACTATCTCAATGAGGGCTATTATGGTGCTTTCCGACTCTTCCTCAGGGAGCCTGTCCCCAGGATACCCATTGTGGTGAAGGTAAGGGGACCTTCTGTGTCCTGAAACCACCAAGTCCAGCCCCTGACCCAAGAGGCAGGGTCTCAGGTCACCCATGCTCTGCAGGTTGTCATGCTGGGCATGGGTGCAAGGCGTTGCATGCACACATCTGTATGTGTTTCCTAGTGCACATCTTGTGATTCATGCCTGAGCAGGCACGTGTGTCTGTGGAGGCTGCATGGGTCTGATCAGCTCAGGATGCTTCCATGTGCATCTCTCTGCGCTGTGTGTGTGTTTCTAGAGCTCTGGAATGTTGGAGATTTGGGAGACTTGGAGAGTAGTGGATCCCAAGCTCCCTTTTTCACATTAGAGCCACCTGCCAAGCTGTCAAAGTCCCCACTGCCCGGCCATGCTCTCATATGTATAAATAGATTTAAATCCCCAGGTTGAATCCAGCATCCGTTCATCATTAAAACTCCCCAGGTGACTCCAGGGTGCAGTGGATTCTGAGACCCGGTCTTTGGGTCCTCAGCACGCACACGTGATGTGTTTGTGAGCTGGTAGGCTGAGAATGGCCCTGGTGCGATGTGAGCTCTAGGCAGGGCCTTTGAGTGTGTCCTAAAGGCTGGCCCAGAACAACCACTCTGTCACTGTTCACTGGGGTTGAATGGTGCCATCCTTGCTGGGTGGCCACACGTCTCCCAGGGCCGTGCCTGACATCCTAGCGATGCAGTGAGACCCTTTCTTCTCTGACCTCATCATCTCCTTCTCCCTGCAGGAGTTCCCCTCGGAGCCCCGCCTCTTCCCCTGCACCCTCTATGGCCCCACATGTGACGCCTTTGACAGGCTCTTCTCGAAGGAGGTGCAGCTGCCAGAGCTGGATGTGGGTGACTGGCTGATTTTCCCTGACATGGGTGCCTACAAGAGCTCCATGAGTTCCACCTTTAATGGCTTCCCAATCATAACGGTCTACGATGCCGTGGGACCCCAGCTCAGGTGACCAAGGGGAAGGGTATAGGGCGGCAGCTGTGGGGAGCTTGCTCTGGGCCTGGCAATGTAAACTGGTAGCTGAACTTGGGAGCTCTGGGCCTAGGAAACACTCTGTTCTTCACATTGACCCTAGTAGGGCCTAGTGGGTCTCACCTCACTTGGCCACAGACCTCTGTCTGTGGGGTTGACTGGGTCTTGGCCTCTCCCCAGGTAAGTCAGAGGTTGTCTGGGCAGCTGCACCTTGTGGATGTCTCCGTGGGAGTAGACTCAAGCAGCCTATGGACCCACCTAGCCCTTGGTGCCGTGGCCCAAACCCTCTTGGCCCTAGTGGCTTGTGATAGCTCCCCAGTTCTCAGGATTGTACCTCAGAAGAACCCCTGCCCTGGGGACCCTGCTCTGCCCAGCTCAGTACTCACCATCAGAGGAGGGGGAGCCCTATGAACCTCTTGAACTGTAGCAACCTTTCCACAGGAGCGTACTGGAGTCAGCACCTTAGGCCAGGACATGGCCAGAACGGAGAGGTACCTGGTATGGTGTAGCCCAATGGGGAAAGCTTAAGGTCAGAGGGCGGAGGAGTAGGTCCTTGGGGGAAACAGAGGTCTGGCCTCTTCTGCACTAGCGAGACCCTTTTACACACTGAAGGCTGTTGTCCTTCCTGAGTAGGCTTGAAGTACCCGCTGGATGTCCTGGGTGGCTGGCTTGGCATCCCTTCTGACTCTCTCCCTAGACAATGGGATCCCCATGGTGGGGGTGGTGAGGGAGACAGGGAGGCTAAGACTTGTGCCGACACAGGAGTACCCCTTCAGGGCTAGGCACCTTAATCTAAAAAAAAATACCTAGGAGTGCTTTGCAGTGAGTGCGCATGGGGGTGGGGGGTGGGGGATGGCCCCAGGGGCAAAGTCACCCCTCCTGTGTGCTTTCTAAACTTCTCCTGATGAGGCTTTCTGGGATCCACAGTCTCTGCTAAGGCTTTCCTGACCTGCCAGGGTTGTGTCACAGCCTAGCTCCACCGTCTGAATGAATCTTCCAGCATCTTTGAACTGAAGAGAATTCTCCCCCAGACAACCCATGGAAGATGTGGGCTGCAGACACCTCCCACAGACGTGGGAAAGGCTCAGCCTTCAGGATGGTGTGCTACTCATTGGGCCTTTCCAGATCTTACAAATTGGGAGGGGAAACATCTATCTGTCTATCAAAGGAGTTTCCAAAGTACAGATATGGCTTGGCTTTGGTGAAAATACAGAACTATTTAGATGCAAGAGCTGGTGTGTTCTGCTTGTTCTGTGGGTGTAATTCTCTAGAACTATGAATATTCATATATATATTTATTCATTCATCTACCATCCATCCATTTATTCATCCAGCCGGCCAGCCAGCCAGCCAACCATCATCCACCCACATTCATCTATCTTTTATCCATCTTTCATCCATTCATCCATCGACCTATCGTGCATCCATTATCCATATACTCACTATCAACCATCCATTCACTTATCATTCACCCATCTGTCCATCCATTATCCATCCATCAATCCACTATCCATCCATCATCCATCATTCATTCATCTATCATCTATCTAACCACCCATCCACCAGCCATCAGTTATCCATCTATCCATTCATTATCAACCATCCATCCACTTATCAGTCACCCACCTGTTTAGCCATTCATCCATCCAACAATCCACTATCCATCCATCTATCCATCCATCCATCCATCCACCCATCCTCCATTCATTATCCATCATTCATCTATCTATCTATCACCCACCCACCAGCCATCATTCATTCATCCATCCATGCATCCATCCTTCCATCCATCCATCTGTCCACCAGCCTAGTGCTTTTTTAAACCCAAGGGACCCATGTTCAACACGAGATGAAAAACTTTGCCTTACAGGTAAAACACAGCATAAACAAACACACAGGTTAATGGCAAAGTGACGTAGGAGCTTAGGAAAGAGGAAGAGGAAGAGGAGTAAGTGAGCAGCCTGCAGCATGGGGGCCAGGTGATCTCTCAAGGCCTAGAGGAAGTGTGGCAGAGCATCCAAGAGAACCCTGCATGGAAAAAAGCAAGTCCGAAGGTCAGGGTGATGAACTCCAAGTAAAGGTCAGATGACCCATGACAGTGAGTAGAGAAGGGAGGTTAAGATGAGGCAGGAAGAGAGTCCAGGCTGGCCCACAGGAAGAGGGTCCAGGCTGGCCCGACAAGCATCTTACTAAGTCAGGGTTTTTATGTTAATTCGAGCAGGTGAAGGTACAATACAGGGGTGGAGGCAGAGGTGGCAGGGAGACTCCTGTCAGCCCTGTAGAAGAAGGGGTGGGGATGGGGGGAAGTAGAAGTGGACCTAGGGGTTTAGGGCCAGGCCTGCCCTGGACAGGGCCCTGGGAGAGTGGAAATCAAGACCGCTTCATCAAGTTTGACGAGATACACAGACCTCCAAGTGAGGCCTAGGGGCTCAGTCTCTGAGGAGAGGTCAGGAGGAGAACTACACTGAAAGTCCTGAGCCGAGGAAGGGGAGGCCGCTCAGCTGCGTCTGAGGCTGCTGAGGTAAGAGTGAGTAAGCCAACTGATGTCACTGAGGGCTCCAGGGTCCAAGGAGCGTGAGGAAGGAGCTGCCCAGGGAGGTGTGCCCAGGGAGGTGTGCCCAGGGAGGTGTGCTACGGAGGAGGAAGCGAGGAGGGAGGCAGGGCTGCAGGAAGAAGAGGACCAAGGGGAGACACAGGGTTCATTTTTGGGTGAGAAAGCACGGTTTGACTATCAAGAGCAAAACCCATTACGGGTGAGAACGCTTCGAAGTCCTGCAGGAAGCGGCTGGGCCCTCCAGCCAGGCAGGACAGGGTGGAGGGCGCGGTCTGCGCCTGTGCAGAGCTCTGGAGCCAGCAGGCCGAGGAAATCTGGGGTCGGGGAAAACTGGCACTTTCTTCAGACTCGTTTCCCAGTGATTCAAGTACCGAGGTCGAGGTCGAGAAGGGAAGGGGGCAGGAGGAGTTCTGCATTTCCAGAAGGGAACAGGCTCGACAGCCGGAACAAGGCTGGGAGAGGATGCATCCGTGAGCTGCTGCGGGTTGTGCAGGGGCAGCTGGAGGCTTGCGGGAGTCAGCGAGCTGGCGGCTTGCCCTCACCGGTGTCCCGCCGTGGGCACAGGTGCACAGTGGGTGGAGGTTGCGGGAGGTACAAGGACAGGGAGATGGCTGAAGCCTGAGGTGGCCGCTGGATCTCTGCAGATCCAGACCTCTACCCACGGGTCCCGGAAGTCCTCCGGGCTTTTTCCGGACCCACATGGAGCAACTTTCGTGGGTCACCCGGCCAGTGCCAACCAGGCATTGAAGGCTACTGTCCTCGGTGTCCTCCATCCCACAGCAAGGCCTGCGCACAGCAAGCTTGGCTCTTGGGTAAACCCAGGTAGTCGGCGCGCGGCTTAGTCTCGGCTTCAGCCATGATGCCTTTCTGCCACCTACTGAGGGTGATTGGAATTGAGCCTGAGTTGAGCGCCCCCAGGGTTTCCCCGGCGCCAGCTAACAATGGCCCACCGAAAAAGGCTGAACCGGTGTTCTTTTTATCTTTTTCTTCTTCCTTTTTTTTTTTTTTAACCTTTATTATTTTGTATGGGTGTGGGTATGTTTATAGGGGACATGCGCATGCCATGGCGATCATGCGATGGGTAGAGGATAACTTGCAGGAGATGGCTCTCTCCTCTTGCATCATGTGGGTTCAGGAGATTGAACTCCCTGCCATCAAGATTAGTGGCAAGTCACACTGATCCATTTTACAGCCCCCCTTTCTTTTTCTTTTGTGACCCCCCCCCAGTTCTGGGGCTCTGGTCAAGGGTTTTGTGTATGCTAGGCAAGCGCTCTACTGCGGAACCACGGGGGAGTCTAGAGAGATGACTTTTGGTCGTTGTCTGCCGTCCCCACTTAATCCAATCCATTCACGATGCCCACTGAACACAGTCTTGCCACACTGCTGTGGGCACCAGGACTAGGCAGGAAACCCTTGAGACAAATGCCTGGGGTGACTATTTCACATTTCAGAGCAGACCTGTCACAGGTTCTCACAGGTTCTCCCTGTACCCCTCAATCCCAACCTGTTACAGGGTCCTCCTGGCTGGCATACCCACCCCCTGCCCTGAACTCCCCAGTCCAGGGGTCTGGGCTGCTCTTCCCCGTGTAATCTAACCATTTTGGTTACCTTCTCTCTTGTACCTTTGGCCCCCTGGCTGCTGCACCTGGTTCCCCTCTCTCCCCTCTCCCTGCCCTTCCCCCTCTCTCCACATGGCCCAGCTCAGTCTGGCCATGTCCACTCGGGACTGTCCCAGATCAGATGCCCCTGACTCTGACTATGCTCTTCCTTTTATCTGCAGTGAACTTCCTCCACCAAACCTAAGAGCAGTCGTGTCCTTTCCTTTCTTTTCTTCTTTCTTTCTTTCTTTTTTTTCCATTCATTTGGTGCCGAAACCAGGGACTAGTCATCTTCCTTTCCTTTTTCTTTCTTTCTTTTTTTTTTTTTTGCATTAGCAAAAACATTCCATGTGGGGGTGGAGGAAGACAGGAAGTGAACAAGGACATACAATAGAGAACGTGATGGATGACTGAGGGAATTCAGAGAATGACTGGAGAAGGTGAGGTGACGGTGTGTGTGTGTGTGGGGGGGGGGGGTTGGCACCAGAGGATACTCCAGCAGGTGATGGACTGGGGAGAAGCCTGGCCCAGAAGGGAGCAGTAACAATGACCAGAGTGTCTGGCAGGTCTGAGTTGATCTAGGAGATCAGAGGGAAGGCCTGGACCTCATGAGCCTCCTGCCTCAGCCTCCTGCATACTGGGGTTACAGGCATGTGCTACCACACCCACCCCACAATAGGAGCTTTGTGAAAAAAGGAGAAATGCCTGAAATCTGTGTATAACCTTCTCAAAGAAAACTGTGTGCTGTTTATTATTGTTATAGTCAATTGTTTCCCTAATATTACATACATGAAATGTTGGACAAATACAGACTAACAAATGGTCTTAAGAATTCCTGGGACTTACCTACAATCTTGATTTCTCATTCCTGAATCCCTATGTTAATATCTGCTGGGAATTTAGAGACTCTGTGTGTGTGTGTGTGTGTGTGTGTGTGTGTGTGTGTGTGTGTGTGTGTGTGTGTGTAGACCAGAGGTGACATTGGTTGTCTTCCTCAGTGATTCTCCACTACATTTTTTTTTTTTAATTTATTTTGCAATACAATTCAGTTCTACATATCGGTCACGGATTCCCTTGTTCTCCCCCCTCCCGTCCCCCTCACCTTCCCCCCAATGCCCCCCCCCCCCCCCATTCCCATCTCCTCCAGGGCAAAGCCTTCCCCACAGACTGAGGTCAACCTGGTAGACTCAGTCCAGGTAGGTCTAGTCCCCTCCTCCCAGGCCAAGCCAAACAATCCTGCATAGGCCCCAGGTTTCAAACAGCCAACTCATGCAATGAGCACAAGATCTGGTCCCACTGCCTGGATGCCTCCCAAACAGATCAAGCCAATCAACTGTCTCACCCATTCGGAGGGCCTGATCCAGTGTGGACCCCTCAGCCATTGGTTCATAGTTCATGTGTTTCCAGTTGTTTGTCTATTTGTCCCTGTGCTTTATCCAACCTTGGTCTCAACAATTTTCGCTCATATAAACCCTCCTCATTCTCGTTGATTGGACTCCCAGAGATCCACCCAGGGCCTAGTCATGGATCTCTGCATCCAGATCCCTCAGTAGTTGGACACAGGGATCGTCCACTACATTTTTTGAGACAGTGTCTCTACCTGAACCTGGGACTCATCCACTGGCCTAGCCTGGCAGGCCAGGGAGCTCCAGGGACCCGCCCAGTGCTGGGACTACAAGATGCCTATCACTGCAGGGGAGGCCTGGCAACAGGAGCCAGAGGCAGCTGGTTCTTGTACCTGAAGTCAGGTGGCCGGGAGAGACTGCAGCTGGCGGCGGGGAGGGAGGGTTGGGGGACAGACTGCATCTTTAGAGAGGGGGGGACGGGGATAGACTGCGGCTGTGCAGCTGGCTTTCGCTTTTTTTATTCAGTCTAGAACCCCAGCCAAAGCAATAGTGCACTTCATATTTAGGGTGGGTCTTCCCACCTCAACCCAGTCTAGAAACTCCTTTGTGGA